GGCACCGCGGAGAAAGTGGCTTTTTCTGCTAAAGCTTCCTGTGGTTTTCGGCTCTCCCATCAAAAATGCCCTTGGGGGCACGGCGCGGGATGTTAAGGCTCAGCTGCTAAATCTCCACCCCTCTCTGTGCTCGCTCCTTCAAGAGCACAACCCAGCACCTCTGGGCTGTAATCAGTAACGGGCCGGGGGAGTGAAAATCCGAAAGGAAGGGTTTTTTCCTTCGCATTTTGCGCTGGAGCCCAAGGGGCAAGGGAGGCATCCTTGGGGAGAGGGGGATTCCTTGACCATGAAGTTCCTCTGCAATTACAATACCAAACCAAATACATTTCAAATATTACATAGAATCTACTTATCTCTCTTTTCCCCAGCTTTTAAATGGAGGAATTTTAATAGTGCTGGAGCACTTGTGGGATAACTGTGGGAAGATTCAGTTCCTTGTGGTAGTTTGGCATGGACTCTGGGTCAGCATTTTGCCCTGGTCTCTGGCAGGATAGCACACAGGTTGTATTGCATGTGGAAAGCATTTTCCTTGAACTAGTGCTCCTCTCTCCTTTGCACTATTTTAATTAAACTAGAAGAGCCATTGCCACAGAGGACAAAAGTCATTGTCCATGTCACTCTGGCACATTTTATTAAAACACATCTGAGTGGGTATGTTTTCTGTTGTTCTGCAATTGCTCAAAGCTGAATTGAGTCATGTAGCATAAACCTTACTGTTTTCCTGGCCAAAACCCCCAAAAATTACATTGAGAAAACCTCTCTGTTGTTTCCCTCTCCAGTGAATACCGAGGCTTGGTCAAGCACACTGGAGGCTGTCACTGCGGGGCTGTCCGCTTCGAGGTCTGGGCTTCAGCAGATCTGCATATTTTCAACTGCAAGTGAGTGTTTCATGTGCTCCATATTCTCATGGATGAATACTAGCTTGTATGCTTTTCCAGTCAACACCTTACAGATGTGTAATACACCTTACAATACAAAAGATGACACAAGTGCTCTGAGCTGTTCCTATAGGTTATACTCCTGATTATGTCCTGATCCAATATGGGATCAGTACTGGTGATTTCAGGTGCTACTTCTTTGGGCAGTTCTGGTCTCACTGCTCTGCTCATTGCTCAGGAGACATCTATGAATACAGCTCATCAGCTACGTGCTTTACATTTCCTGAGTGCAGTGTGCTCAGAGCACATCAATCTTGTTTTAACTTTAACATGACATCTCTGACCACATGTGCCTCAAACTACAACACGGTCTGATTTCAGCAGTGATCCCCCTTTGCTTGCAGGTAGTTTGCTTCTAGCATATGGGTAAACTTCTGACCGTTTCTTTCTTGTTTGCAAGGTAATTCATGTTGGCAAAATTGGTCAAGTCTGGTCTGAAAGATTAAATGGGTTTCTCAGGCCTAGAGACAAGGCCTAGAGCCTTGTAATGGCTCTTGAGACTGTGTATGTGCAGAAAAAACGGCATCTGATGTTTGGTGTGGGGGAATACCTTGTTGGTGTACCCACGTAGGGTCAGTCTAAGTGGCTGTGCTTAGCCAAACACTACTGATACCACAAGTCCACTGTTGCTGCTTACCTCTGTGATGCTTCCAGGAGCCATTTTAGCTGTCGGTGGAATTTCTGTTGTCCAGAGATCCATGCTAGATTTGATTGCTGTCCGCAACTTGTCCGCTGCTTCTAGAAAGGTCTCCTTTTTCTTTTACAGTTGCAGCATTTGCACAAAGAAACAGAACAGACACTTCATTGTCCCAGCGTCGCGCTTCAAGCTGCTGAAGGTAGAGTAAGAATGCAGTAAGAGCATGGCTGTGAACATGAGCAGTATAAGCCAGAGTTATCATCAAAGATGCAAGTGGCAGCCAGTTTTCTATCCTAAGCTTGTCTATGGCTGATTGGGGGAAACAGCTGAATTTTATGCTGTCTGGTGTGGGTGTGTTAGTGCATCTTACTTAGTGTAGTGAGCTGACTTCGGAGCTCTTGCAGTTCTCAGGTTTGACTGTTATGGAGCAAAGCACAGGGGTTTAGAAAAGGAGCATGAATGCAGAATTTAAGTAAAGACACAAAGTTGGTATTTTAGATTTTACATTTCTTAGCTACAGATCCATAGAAAGGAATTAATACCTCTGGCTTGTCTAGAATATTTACACTGCTTTTCATTTGCTCAGGGTGCTGATAATTTGACAACGTACACCTTCAACACCCATCGTGCTCAGCACACATTCTGCAAGACCTGTGGTGTACAGAGCTTTTATACTCCTCGTTCTAATCCAGATGGCTATGGTAGGTAGCAAGAGAAAGCTGTAGTAACCAAAGGTAACCACCAAGCAAATCCTGGGTAAAGACTCCATTGGATGCTGGCATGACAGCAGTGAGCAGCATGTGTCTTAAGATTTCATTCCTAGTACTAAACATCTGGAACTGCAGTCTGCACCTGTAGCTCATCTGTAAGTCTCACCTACTGCTGTGTGGGCTTCTTCCCATCTAGGCTCTTCAGCCTTACAGCAATAGCTGGACTGAGCACTTAGCATTCTCTGAGGTTCCCCCTTCCAGAACAGTGAGGCATCTCCCACACAGGAGGTGAATGCAGGTTTCTATGTACTCTGTCTTTCTTCAGGAATAGCTCCCCATTGTCTGGATGATGGCACCGTGCAGACCATTGTCACAGAGGATATCAACGGCAAGGAATGGGAGAAGGCAGTGAAAGAACACAAGACCATCAGAGACATGTCAAAACCCTGACGCACTCTTCCAGCAGCTGATGTCAGGGCACTGCTGTGGAACTGCAGCCTGAGCTTTCCTGGGTGAGGGTTGGCAAAATCAATCTCTACATTATTATCTGTTTCTTAAATAAATCTTTCTATGCTGCCTGTCCCATTCAATTGTGACTTTCAATTTCCAAACTACTTCCTTTCCGTAAACCACCCCAGGGCTGCTATTTTGGTACTTTGCCCTTAGCTGTGCTGAAGTTTAAATCATAATAAACAGAGCAAAGTACAAAAAGACAAAGAAAAAAGGCTAATCTTTGCTTGTATGGATATTTCCTGTGTTTCAAGTCTGCCTTGTAAAACATCCTATGTAAGGTAATCTCTTCCTTAGGACATAATGCTAACTTACACTGATTTTTCTCCCTTGACTTCAATGAATTGGCCATCTATCTAAAGGGGATTTGAAAGAGCTTAGCAAGCTCAAGTTCAGTAAAGCACAGGCTCAGGTTCAGTAAATCGTTACACAGGTGCCTAGCTGTATGCAAGAGAGAGGCCACTGAAGTTATTAATATGATTAAGTACTGTTTTGCTTAAGGCTGGACTTACTCATGGTCTTAAGGCTGAGTAGACATACGCTTAGGCACTAACTCATGGCCACGGAACAGAGTTCAACACTGTCATACAACAGGCACATACTTCAGTACAACCAGGAACCCATGTGTTATCCTCAGGAGGAGGATGTGCTCACAGCAGCAGATCAGGATCTGGCCATTAGGGCTCTGATCTTGACTATGCAATGTCAAACTGTGTAGATCCAGGAAAGATGCTTCCTGCAGACATCAGCCCACATGAATGAGTGTGCAAAGGCCTACAGAAATGTTGAGTAGTGTTGACTTTGCTCCGTAGTGACCCCCACGTAAACCCAAATCACTAGCAGGCTAAGAAACAAGACCACTGAAAGCTGGTTCACTTACCTTTAACATAAAGGGAGAGGATCTCCAACTCCTGCACTTGCCTCTTACATAAGTGGAACAGCTCTTGAAACATCTCTTGCAATTTTTATCTCTGTTCTATAAAAGACCTAGTTACAGTTACTCTTGCACCTCATTCTTAGGTCTGTTGAGACTCTTGTGAGTTGATCTTGAGCCCCATATTCTGAAGCAAGAAATGCTCATGCTGCATGAGGGACACTGCAAAGGTGGGGCCTGCAACCCAATGTGTAAGGAAGAAGCAGCAGTAGCAGCAAAGATCAGTGCAACTGGGGAAATTCGTGTGACTTTTGATGTTTTATTCATAAGCTTTGGCTTTTTAAAGTTCAGTCTCAGTAAGACAGATCTGGTAGATCTGGTTTTATCTTTAGAGATAGCATGGCCTTTGAAAAGTTACTCCTGATAACTGGATTTTACAAAAACACCAAGAGACAGTTGCCAAGCAGTCCTCACAGCTGTATCCTCTTGGGGTATAATAATTTGTGCCATATCTTCTCTAATGCAGAATACTCCTGTATTAGGTTAGTCCAAATTTCTTACCCTATTTAAGCTCTGACAGTGAGTAGCTGTTAAACCCTGTTCATCTCAATGCATCGGGCAACAAGATATTCAGAAGGAAGTTCACACAGCCCGTTTTCTGTAGTCTGAATGAATGTTACACAAAGAGAACCCCGTCCTCTTGAGCACATCACAGGTGAATTTGCTTTAGTCCTGGGCCTGGCACAGTCTTTTTTTCACTCATTCTTTTACTCCTGAAGTTGTCCCTTTTACAGAAGGCGCAGTGAGTTGACCACCATATAACGTGAGAAGAGCATATAGATGTGGCGAAACCAGAGGAGTTGGCTGCAGTGACACCTCATGGCTCTCTAGAAGGAAAAACAGTTGAGAAAGCATGACAAGAACCTGCCACACCTAACATGAGGGCAGTTTCCTAGGCCTCCTGTGAGATTCACTGCCAGCTTACAGGACAGCCTGTTTTCAGTGAGCAGGGAAGAAGTACTAGGAGATAGAAGGCTGTCTGCTTTATGAGGTTAAAGAGCGGGGAGAGTCGTGTCCACCCCTATGCTGCTGGTGTGGCGCTTCCTAGTGTTCAGAGGGGTCCTGCTAGAAAGGACATTATCAGCTGCAGGTTGGTGCTGTGACAGTTTCTTTGTCACATATAACTCCTCCTCCTTATGTGATCTCAATCCTGGGTGTTCACATGCTGGGGAGGCAGAAACCTGATAGGTGTGCATCTGAGAACACTTTGCACGCTGCTTCCGATCATACGCTGCCAGCTGAAACTTAATCTATTTATAGCGCACAGCTTAGAAAGGTCACATGTCAGAAACAAAAACCACAAGGGAACACCACCACCTTTATCAGAGCAGTTTCCATATGTAAGTCTATCTTTTAGCAGCCTCAAAAGAAGGAAAGTTCTGTCACTTGTGGATTAACGGGACTGTCTGCTGGGCAAGTACTTTTATGCTATAGAAAGGGAGCTAATCAGATTCCGATACAGGGGACTGTGCACTAAATGTGTGAGATACCTGCGTGAAACAGGAACCACACATCTCACCTTGGCTTGTTCAGTCTCCTCCTCTGTGAGGATGAAGAGTGCATCACTGGACAGGAGATAGGAAATAGGAACATCCAGGATGGAGATGTACTTCCGGAAGAGACTGACTGATTCCAGCACGAGCACATGGCACCCTAGACACAGAAAGAGGATAAATACTTCAAAACAACAGTACTGTTCTAAGGTGCCCATCTCTGCAGGCTCAGTAGCTCTCTGCAGCCTGCCCTGTACTGGAGGCCATGAGGATCCTTTCTGTGCAAGAGGGGAGCAACTTCTACTCATGCTTCCACCAGGATCTCTATGTGCCCAGTGCACATCTATGACCACTTGTACTGGATCTTGCTGTGTATGTGGTCTGTAGAAAACAACACTGGCTTTGAATACCAGAGGGTTTGGTTGGTTTGGGTTTGTGTTTTGGTTTTTTATTTCTTATAATTTCAATTATTCCTACATAGTTAGACTCGAAGGAAAAGCAGAGCTGACTGCGCACTGGCACTATATCATGTAATGGAAATTTAAAACAGCAGTTTCTGGTTCAGCTACAAGAAAAAAGAAATTTCCTCTTTCTACTCCAATTCATAGCTACAAAAAAATTCTACAACATTCAGGAATGGCTTTATCAACTATTAACTCAGACAGGCAGTTACACTTTAACAGAGCTCCAGAATTCACTGCTCAATGTTTGTGATGAAGCAGATGAAAGTTACATGTATAAAGATTCTACTGGGTGGAATTTTCTTTTCTGTTTTAAAGAGTCCTTTGAATTCAAAAGTTAATTGCTGGTTTTTTTACCATGGCTAAATTATCTTCACTGATGAGCCCAGAGCTACTGAAGGTCCCATTAAAAGCTTGTAGCTCTTAAGGGAGCTGCTTTGGGATTTCATAGGGTTTGGAAGCTGCAAGATACTAGATTAACTTCAGATATTCTATTAAAGTTCAACAGAAGAGGCCAAAGTCACAGTTGGCACAGGTGGTCAGATACACAAATAGATTTGCAATGAGCTTTTCTTCAGTATGCCCTTAAACAGTGAAATTACACAGAATAGACAAAGAGCAATGCTGACTTGCTACACAGGCTGCCTGATGGACCATTTCAGTGAGAGAAGCCTGTGCTCACACCTAACACTGCTAAAGCTGTTATGTCCTGCACACAAAGCAAACTGCTGGTGCTCAGATACCTCTTGGCCCTAGTATGTAGACAGGACTTGTGTCCTCCTAAGGGAAAAGACTCTCTAGGACAGCGGCAGAACCAAACATCATGGCACTTCTATCCAGCCAAACGCTGGCACGAGTCTGGGCTGTGCCAGGAACCCGAGGAAAAGCCCTTCTGAAACTGCTGGATTCTCGCTGCAAGCCCGGCCCGCCAGGAGCTGCCGGGAGATGGCGGTGTCTGCCAGCCGCGGAGGGAGCAGGGACCCGCAGCCGCTTCTCTTTCCCAGACAGGGATGAGGCTGGGATCACTTTTGGCACCCCTCTGCCTTGAAGACCTTCCTGTCTTATCCACGTCAGTACCGTGTCCTACTGCAGGTCAGCCATCCAACCCTTGCAAGGTCATGGTGCCCGTGCCCGCAGAGCAGCAGCTGTGCGGTGCCATCTGGAAGGAGCGATGGCTCTGCCAAGCTCGCTTAAGTCTCCAGGGCAGATGTGTGGGAATGCTGGTAGCTGTGACCAGCATGGCCTGTGCCACTTCCTGACTGCGAGCCTGAGCCCCCGCCTCGCTCATGGTCCACCTTGACAAGTGACAGACGAGCAGTTGCTGTTCGGCTGCCCTAAGTTTTCATCTCGCTATTGCAGAGGATGCTCTGCAGTTGCACACAAAGTGCCCAGACAGTTATTTCACTAAAGACGTTTCTTGTTTCCAAGCAGCAAACTCGGAAGCAAGCTTGTGATGTGCCAGGAGCAGGGGAACCACTTTCGCCTCCTCTGCAGAGATCCCCTGGGCTGCTCAGCAGGCCCAGTCTGCTGGTGAGTAGTTTCAGAGAGAATTACCACAGTGCTACACTATGGTACAGAAGAGCAATAGATATGGATCCCTTTCTCTTGTCATCAGCATTCCCACTGTCCATCTGTTTGCTTTTCAGTGCTTACTGGGGAGGACATGGCTAGAGCAAACATGGGGCAATGGGTCTTTCCTTTCTTGGATGGTTGTTAATGGAGCCTGGCTCAGCAGTAAGCGCTCAAAACAACGGCAGGTGATTTCAGTATTGATCAGTCTGACCTCTTGGGCCCCCATCGGTCCGACCAGGCAAAGCAATGGCATTCCAGCCTCACAAAATGAAGGGCACTGTAAGAGTCTTCTGTGTCAGTGATATGACAAGGATCTCCACATGCTGACAGAAAGGCTGCTCCACATGGGAACATGAGATGACATGAAGCAAGGAAGGAATGTACAGTCCAGGGAGAGATGGAAAAGGGTTCAGAGAAGCAGGCTGTTCCCTGCCAAGCAGGGTAAGAGAAGTGCTGCCATTGATGAGTCTACTCCTGTGA